GGGGCGACGGCAGGGGTGAAGGCAGGCGATGTCGCGGGGGAGGGGGACGACGACGCCGCATTGGTGAACAGGCTGCGCCAGCGGAATACGCGGGAAGGAATGGAGGCGGCGGCGAAGCTGTGGGTGGCTGACCTCCGCTTCTGGAACGAGAGGGAGGGATTTGCCATCGTCAAGTTGATCGTGGAGGCGCGCGGTTATCTTGTGGCTGTGGCGCGGGGAGAGCAGCCTCCGCCCATTCGACGCACCATCGTCTTGCCTCACAACAGCATCCCGCAGCACAAGATCGCGGACGAGTGGGAGTTAAACGCTGCGAAGGAGAGGGCGCTGAAGGTTCAGGGGATCGCTTTGCGGGTGATACACGGGTGGGTCTTCAAGTCTCAGAACAGGCAAAGGGGGTACCATGCGGCGTACCAGTACGCATTCAACCACGCGGCCACCGACATCGCTCGCGCGATGTGGATGGGGGAGGACTGGCGTTATTGTGTGAGTCCGATGGTCGTGCACCACACGCTCGACATGGATATGAAGTTGCCTTTGTGGTTCGTGGGCGCCGACGTCGAAGACAGGCACGAGGACGACGGCTTGGCGGCTTATCAGGAGGCGAGCATCCAGCGACTGGTGGGGGCTTTCACGAGCGTCGTGATCATTGCGGAGGCGACGGATGGCGGGCGTGTATCGCACGAAAGGTTGAAGACCATGGCCGACGCGATGCGGATGATGCTCGTGCCGAGCATGTGGCTCATGCGGATGGCGGGTGACGATCATCGCGCGCATTACGACGGCTGGGTCTTCGTCCAACTCACGGCGAAGCCGACGCTCGTCGCATCCATGCATCGCTGCTTCGACGCGCGTCGGCACATCGTGCAAGTTGCGACCGTAATCACCGACAAGTTGGCGAGTCCCCCCATCACTTTGATCGACCCTCCAATGTATGTTCCCGACTGGGCGTCCATCGGTGTGAAGTTCTCATACGACGCCACGCTGTCTTCCCCGATGGAGGCCAAGAAGGTGGATTGGTTGGGAACAGGCCCCCCGGAAGACGAAGACGACGGGAAAGGCGACGAACAGGGAAGCGGGGGGGGTCGATGACGCCTTTTAGTCGTCTATGTAGTTTTTCCTCGTGTGATGCTGCTCTGCCGTGGCTTGTTTTTCGATGGCAGACCAACCATCATCCCCTTTCTATACATACATCGTGGCTGGCAGTCCGATTTCGTTGCCTAGGAGCTTTCGGTGGCAAAGATGGTAAAGAAGGGAAAGACGGTAGAATGTAGAATGGAGGGGGCGGGATGGTTGGAGGGTTGGATGTCGTTGATTGGTAGACGACGTGCGTTCGTGGTTGATCGCCGTGGCGGACAGGTCACCGTGGGGGTGTGTAATTATCGTATGTTTTTGTCATGGCTTACTTTTTTTTTTTTTTTTTCAGTTATCTGTTTCGGGTCTTAAGAAATCGATGTTCGCATTTGTAACAACCAACATGTGACACCTGTCATTGGTATTGATGACGACCCTACTTCAGGAGGTTGTCGCTTCTTGTGTTCCTTGCTTTTCATGATGTCTGGACGATGTTGTCGTTTCTTGTGTCTCTCGTTATTGATGATGTCTACAGTTTCATGTSGACTCCTTTGCGWTCCCTTTTCATTTGCATTCACGATTGTCAGGGCTGCACCGACATGGAAAGTGGTGACGGATGTATGATTCAACAAATGCTTTATCACAGATTGATGGATTTTTACACAACCCATTCCAAATACGAGCACAGATGAAGGCAATAAAAATGACACACACATAGCTTCTCTCTCTTTAACAAAACACTTGTCATTCGACACGAACACGGAGAACAACCTCGACGACATCAAAAAAAAAATTACAAGATATGTTATCTTAATGTTGTCACTCCCGACAACAGCACAACACGTCACAAGCACAATGTAACAGGCCTTGAAGGCAACTTCGATCCCGACCAGCCTAAAAAAAAAAAAAAAAACACAGCCGGAAATGGCCTTCGTCACTCACACCCGTCACTGACGGTGGCACCACACTGCAAATCGTCGCAAAGACCTACAACCACACGCGCATCACGAAACCCCCGCCGCTAACGAGATGGACTGTGCCATCGCCATAAACCCCACCCGACGAAAACCTCCTAAGTGCGGCGCAATGCGAAAGTACAGGAAACTAAAGTGCGCCAGACAAGCCGCCGCATGCACGCCAACGCCCACCGACACAAGTAGCGGTCGATTAACACACACTCTCTCTCTCTCTATCTGTCTCTCTCTCTCTCTCTGTCTCGCTCTCTCTCTCTCTCTCTCTCTCTCTCTCTCTCTCTCTCTCTCTCTCTCTCTCTCTCTCTCTCTCTTTCTCTCTCTCTCTCTCTCTCTGCATACCGCCCGCTCCCGACGACTGCTCGTCTTCACTTTGTACCCATTCGCTCCGCCAGTGCATCCCGCAGGATCAGCGCATCCCCCGTCGACGACTCCATACACATCTGCCTCAACGGGCGGTGCATCCCAAGTTCCACCCTGCGACGAACACCGTCCGGCCCGACCTCCCACAGCAGATTGTCGTCGAACGGGATGCCCTCGTCGATAAATATGTATGTTGTGCAGAATGCAGATGGCGACAAATTGCTGCGGCAACGTCCCCATATTCGTCTTGTGGGAGCGAAGGAATAACCTCCACATCCCCTTCAATCTGCCGAAAGCCCTCTCGACTGCTCCCCTTGCCGTCTTCTGCTTGTTGTCAAACCAAATCTCCGACGGGTGCTGTGATACACCGCCGTAGGGGACGACTACCCATTCCGAGGGGGGGTAACCGTTGTCGCCCAGTAGATAGCCGTTCGTTCGCACACCGAAAGGCAGCATGACAGGTGGCCCAGTGAAAAGCTCCCCTGCCTCCGCACGCGCCCACAAACTGGACAGGTGGACGATCCTGACGTCGTGGCAGCTCCCCGCGTATCTGACGAACACATCCAGCACACGCAAGTTCAAATCGACGACCGCCTGAGCCTGAACGGAGAAACGACGTTTTTTGTCGTAGTAGTCCTCTCCGGGGCAATTGGCTGGCTTGTCGATGAAGATGTGGGTACAATCGATGCACCCATGGCAGTTGGGGAAACCCTTGTCAGCGAAAGCGCGCAAGACGACCGCCTTTTGCAGCCCCGCTGGCCACGATATCTTGTCGCGGTACGCACTTATCAATGCCGAAGTAACATCCCTCACAACCACCAACCCAGACTTTCTGCCAATGCCGAAGTTGCACGTCCCGTTGTCGGACGAAATACCCTTACAAGGGTATTTGGCCATGCTTTTGCATTCGACACGGTGACGGCATCGACTACTATGATGGAGCCAGTCTAGAATGGAAAGGGTGTGCACGCTTGAGCGTGACACTCGAAACGAATTCCTCGACCATTGAGGCCGGGGCAAAATCGGTGAGAAAATTTCATACTTGTTATGACGCACACTGTGAAGGTTAGAATCTCCAGTAAGACCCTTCGACCGAAGAGGTTGAGGGGTCGATAGGGTTGATGTTATGACGAGTAGATCCACGATGTACGCTGAGACTTAATCGTCAGTACATTTGTCAGAATAAATTAATACGCGCCCGATCGTACGACCGGAGCGATTATTAGTGAATGATCATCGGGGTTGAGGTAGCGCCCCGATTTTTGACGTTTGCTCGAGCAGTACCTTTATCCTTACTAGTGCACTGTAAGCGAGGTTGAGGCTCTAACTCAGCCTCCCGTAGGTAGAAAGGGAGTCGCCCTAGGGAGGTGACTTCCTGACCGCATGACTACCCTAGCGACCGGTGCCTTCGTCCCTCTCCAGAGGGAGACACCGTTGCAAGTTCTGATATCGTCCGCACGGGGTCTAGATGGAGACTACTTGATCTAGAACCCGCCTACCTAATGGTACTGGGCCTCTAAAAAAAAATGCCAACTTTTGTTTTCTTCTGCTCGGCCTCGAGTGCGCGGCACGTCTGCCTTATCTAGGTGTGGTACAAGCCTACCTACAACTTGAGTGTTTTCCCCGCGGTTCTAAGTGTGCGGGCTTACCCCGCTACTTTATACCTTTCCCGCCACGTCCCTCATAACCACGGTTACAGGTAAGTACCGACTTCGGGCCTTCCGATCAACTAGGTATCTTGAGAGGCACGCGCCCTCAAGCGGACACGCGCTCTAGCCGGTGCGCAGACCGGCGAGCGGACACACACTACAAAAGACTTAGGAGTGGGCTCGGGTCACTGGTCGGACTGAGCCCACTACTCTATATGTAACATAGTAACTCTTCTTCCTACCAAAGTAGAAGCTATCTCAGTAGGTAAAAGGCGCAGAGTGTCAAGCAACGGGTGGAGGGGACAAATCCACCCGACCCTTGAGATAATTCCTTTTGATAAGGAGTTCCATAAAGTTTTTACTCAAGCTCGGTCGGGTGGGGACTCGAACCCGTGACCTCAAATTNTCCCAACCCGACCCTTGAGATAATTCCTTTTGATAAGGAGTTCCATAAAGTTTTTACTCAAGCTCGGTCGGGTGGGGACTCGAACCCGTGACCTCGAAATTGGGGTTAGCTGCGGTTAGACCCCGTTGTGACAGTTGCCACGACGGGGTAGTTAGTAATATGATTTTTCTTTTTTATTTTTTTATTTTTTTTATGGTTAGATTCGATTTCTGTTTTATCATCTCATTATTATTATTATTATTTTTCTTTTTTTTACTTTCTCTAATCCCATATCTACCCTCCCTAAATTCACTTCAGTAAATCTGCACCGGAAAGACGAGCAGATTCGCTTCCACGAAAATCTGCTCGACTSCGGACGCAGCAGTCCGAGGCCCTGGCCGCGCGTTTGGGTTGTGTTCTCGACGAGCGAACACAGCAAGTGCTTAGCAACGCGCGGGCRGGGACTACGAGCGAAGGCGACGACGACAGGAGAGAGAAGCGTTGGAGAGGAGGAGTGTGGATCGAGAGAGAGAGCGCACGCAAGCAGGAGAGGTGGCGCAAGCGGGAGAASTGGCGCAAGTAGGGAGAAGTGGCGCAAGTAGGGAGAGAAAGGAAGAAGGAGGGAAGAAACTTGCGCGAAGGAGGAGTCGGGGGCGCACGCGGAAGAAGAAGTAGCAGGGTGCGGTAAAGATAGGTGCGCGGGAAAAAGCAGCGGAGAAAAGTGCGCGTGCGGGGGGATATAAGAAACGGGCGCGCAAAGAAGAAGAAGAAGAAGAAGAAGAAGAAGAAGAAGAAGAAGAAGAAGGAGGAGGAGGAGGAGGAGGAGGAGATGAGCGGAGCGGGCGACTTACCTGGTAGTAGGTGTGCCCCCCCCTTGTAGTCGGTGATGGCACTGTGAGGATGGGCCCGTCATTGCTGACTTGCTGAAGCGCGCGCATATGCTGGTTGTGTCCTCCGTGTGGGCACATCGTGATGGTTTGCGTTGCGCTGCGAGCAAGGACCGCCGAGTTGGTGACGACGACGACAGCGTCCATGATTACGGCTACGACTACGACAACAACGACAAGGAAGAGGGAAAGCAAGAACAGGTAAGTCTATGAATCACGCGACTTACCTCATGACACTTCTATCGATAGAAAGTAAATAAATAAATAATAGATAAAATAAATAAATAAATAAATAAATAAATAAATAAATGAATAAATAAATAAATAAATAAATAAATAAATAAATAACATAACTACATAAATAAATAAATAAGTAAAATCGAACGAATCTGCCACTACAATATCGAAGTATTCACTACTGCGCATGTGTGTGTGTGTGTGTGTGCGCGTTAGTACTTCGATCAATTAATCACATAGCACCGATCAAAAGGAAGAACGAAATCGATCGGATCTCCCACTACAATGTTCGAAATACCCACTACTACGCCTAAATGTGTGTGTGTGTGTGTGTGTGTGTGTGTGTGTGTGTGTGTGTGTGTGTGTGTGTGTGTGTGTGTGAGCGAGAGAGGGAGAGAGACTACCTTGGCCAACAGCCAAGTCTCCAACCCCACGGCTCGACGCACGCTACTTTGGATCGATAGAACGAGCAAAACAAAAAGTGGCAACGTATATTTCCCCGTTTCAGGAGAAGATTCATTCCGGTTTTGCTCGTTCTATCGATGGAACGATGGAAATGTGTGTGGGTGAGACGTTCATGATTCGACCA